TTTTTTTAAAAAAAAAATCCATTAATTTAGTTAAGATCTGTGCCCCAAAGGTGCTTTTTCAAGAGGCAACTGGACTTGGAAGAAGCTTCTTGGATAAGAAGTAAAACATCTTCAGCAAAAACAAAGTCCAGTTGCCTCTTGAAAAAGCACCTTTGGGGCACACACAGATCTTAACTAAATTAATGGATTTTTTTTTTAAAAAAAGCAAGATCAAATTGATGTTTACTGCTATTTAGTATTAGCACCATTTAAGCATCTAAACTCTAATTTCTGCACATATAGAATTCATTAGTTTCAACTATGCTGAAATATATACTGAAATAGGATGTAGACGGCCACAAATTACAGAAATATGCACCATTTTATCATCCAGTGTAAGATTTACAGAGGTTTGTTCAATGGTTAAATATAATAACACCTATAGCTTGACTGTATAATACATATCAATCTGTCTTGAACTCAACACTACTTTAAGTTTCCATTTTACTAGTTTATGCTTTAAGAATTAAATTTCCCAGGCACAAATAACAAAATAACTATTTTTCTTTATTATTTTATCAAGACATGTCAACAGATATGAATTAACGGTATATTTAACATTTCAATATTATTAGGAAATCTCCACAAATACTACTGAATATTTTTTTAAACGCCAGACTCTGTTTTCTCTGCTAAAATGTGATATTTTTATATAGGTGTTACAAGATATTTGGGTGTGTATCACAAGAAAAGGGTAGGCACAGAATGGAAGTAAATAAGTTGAGTAACTCTTAGAGGAGCCAAGTAGAAAGTGGATTTGTTGTGAGAAGTAAGTTAAACTGGAAAGAAGATAGGCAAGTGAGGAGACAATATCAAAGGAATACAATCTGAAAATACACATACACACAAAAGGAAGAAAAGGGCAGAGTGAGATTAGAATAAAAAGGCATAGATCACAATACTTAATATTGTTCCATTTTAATGTATACTTAACATAATGGACACAACATCCAAAGCTAAAGAATATTTAAGTTTTATTGCTGATTTGCTGACAGTACCATGATAGACAGTATTCATGGATACTACAGAAACTACAAATATTTCTAAAATCAAAAGCAGATACAGCAAAATCACTAGGACTTCAATCCTGTAGATACTAACTTCAGTCCCATATATTTAAATGGATCTATGATTATGCCCAAATGGAACTGTTTGAGGGGGAAAAAGAGCAGAGAATGTAGACAGCTTTAAAAAGATTATGAAATAAAGCAATGGATTTGTTTACCTAAATCTTTGTAAACCTCATTAAGAATAGAGGCAACCATGATAAACATCTTGGTTTTGTTATTGCTGAGGTTTTTCACAATCATTCTGTTATTCCTCCTCCCCCTTGCTTTTAGATCTCCAACTCTACCCACTTCTATTTCAAGAACCTGGTATATTTTGGGCAAGATCACACCATTCTTTCAACTAAGAAAGTAGCCGGGTGGTGAATGGGCCATTTGCTGCTGTTGTAGTTTAGAACTGTAAAAGGAGAGCATTGAATTGAAAAATTCCTACAAGCAAGG